GTGCATGGTGCCAGGTGGAGTTTAAAACTGCATGTTGTCTTCTTGTCCCAGTTTTTGTGGTTGCTAAAGTCGAGAGGGGGTATGTGACAGTGTCAGCCATTAGGTTATTGTATGTCAGTTCTAAAGCCACCCTTCCAGAATCTATGATGCTAGAACTCGTTTCTACTTGGCCAGCTGGCTTCCCGAAGGTCTGCCAATAGGATGTGTTAAAAAGACACTGTATGGCAAGGACGTGGAGGAGGGAGCTGCCCCTATGTGCTTGCTGGTCCTTTCAGCAGTGGCCCAGCAATGCCTCTCTACCTGGCGGTAGCAGCAGATGCCAGTCTACACTTTGTCACACATTCTCAGAACTGCCTCATTGTGCTCCCCAGATCCACCAGCACCAGCTGGGCAGCAACCCTCACCAGAGGTTTGAGCCCCAGCTTTCCAGGGCCTCTCCTCCAAATTCCTAGCTTCTGACAATGCTGGTCCTTTGTTTCCCCTGACCAAGGGGTGATACTTACATCCTGCAGTTACCATCTCTGTGTGTTGCCTCATTGTTTCTGCTTCCTTCAGTTCTCCAATATTGGTTTGGCCAATTTCTTATATTAAATTCTCTTTGGTGCAATTCCTAGTGAGTCTTGTGTTTTCCAGGCTAGACCCTGACTGATGATACAAGGCGTATGTCACAGAATCAACATTTGACACCCAGGCATATGAGGCAGAAAGAAAATGGGTCTGCCAATGCTCTAACTTGCTGTGCCTTTTTGGCAAAATTATTTCTCCTCTCTAAACCTCTCATTAAGGTTTGCTGACTTGTTACCAAAACTTGTATTCAGGATCAGTAAATATGTCAGAGGAAGCTTCTTAAGGGAAAAAAGAATCAGTATATAAATGTTCTCAAATGCTATATGAGGTACTGTTAGAGGGCATTGATGTATGTGTCTCAGGATAATTTTTATTGGATTTCATTTATTTATTATTTATTTACTTATTTTTAAAGCAAGGGGAAGGGAGGGAGAAAAAGGGAGAGAAACATTAATGTGTGAGAGACACACCAATTGGTTGCCTCTCACCTGCCCCCAACTGGGGACCTGGCCACAACCCAGGCATGTGCCCTGACTGGGAATTGAACTAGGGACCTTTTGGTTTGCAGGATGAAGCCCAAACCACTGAGACCTACCAGTCAGGGCTATTTGTTACATTTCTTAAAATGTAATTCTTTTAATAAAAAAATGATACATACATATGACCTTAATTTTTTTAAATCACTTGTACATTCTGTAGTAGTTTGCTAGGGCTGCCACCACAGACAAGGTGGCTTATGGAACAGAAATGTATTTCCTCACAGTCCTGGAGGCTAGAAGCCTAAGATCACTGCCAGCAGCGTTTTCCCCTTACCCCAAGGCCTTGCTCCTTGGGTTTCAGATGGCCATTTTCTCTCTGACTCCATTTTAACTGAATTACCTTTTTAAAGTCCCTATCTCAAAATACAGTTACGCTCTGAGGTACTGGTTAAGACTTCAACATGAATTTGGGGGGAGACACAGTTCAGCCCCTAACACATGCCAAGTTTGTTAAGAAACACAGCAGGCTGTTCCTGCTCTCACCCTCTTGCCTCATTTCCCAATTTCCAGAAGAAACCAATTTGCACTGTTTTAATGATTTGGAGATTTATCTTCACATCTCTAAATAATATGTATAAATGCCTCCTCTGGTTGTACAGGTGAGATTTTCATCCCTGGTGTTTCACTAGGAAAGGTTTCACTCTTTCTCACCTCCTGCCCCTCTCACTACCCAAACGCACATTTTCCCTCTCATTCTCCCAAGATAGTTAGTCACAATTTTGGTTAGATAAGTGATTGATATTTACATTATTGAACAACTTTGTTTTTTCCTGAAGCCAGTAACTGTCTTTTATTTTTCTTTTCTTTTTTTTTCCTTTAATATTATGATATATTTGCAATACAAATAATCAAGAGTGGTGATATAAGAAACTTTAAAAAATCATACTGTGATTTTTAAGGGGTTTCCTCTATGAAGCACAATACCATTCCTTAACTCGTTCACTTTTTTTTAATATATGAAATCACTTTGCTGTGATAATCACATGGCTCTCCTTCCCAGTCAATACACAGCACCCTGACACTCCATTTCTGAGTTTTCGCCCTTGTCTTCTATAATCAATAATACAACCATTACTCTGCAAGAATTTAAGTAAGAAAGTAGTTTAAAGACAGTATTTCTTAAACATTTGAGCCTACTATAAGTCATTTACTATCTCCTAGCAAAGTAACTGGCATTGGCTTAATATGGTCTCTTTTCCTTTTCTGTTTCTTTTTCCAATCAGTAGCTCAAAAAAAAAAAAAAAAAAAAAAAAAGATGGAGTAATTGTGTTTTAAAATCCAGCCAGATTTTCTATGGTAACTATTTTAAATAAATAATGGAGGGCCCTACTGAAGTATTCAAATCTCATGCAAAACTCTGGTGAATGTCTCATTACATTAGACAATTTGGTCATTTTCCATATTTAAAAATTCTCATATTAAAGTGGCAGTGGTTACTCTTCATTTTTTTAGCATCTGACCTCAGGGACTTACACATAAAATCGGCCTTCAAGTCTGAGTTTTTGCATCAAGTAGTGCCAGGTATTTCTGAATGAACAATTTGTGCATGTGCCTGCTTTTTGTTTTTCTGTTCTCTTTTTTTAATTTATTTATCTTGTGTATAAACAATTTTTTAATATTTTTAACCATTTGTAAAATGTTACTAACACACTATTTGGTGTTAGCTCAACAGTCACTCTCTGTGGAGAATTAAAGAACTCTAAACTCTACAAATGTCTTACTTTATAAAGTATAATTATAATGGAAGGATCTACTATATCTCTAAGAGAAAAAAAATTACACAGCAACGTTTATCAAACAGCAATTACTGCATAGAAAAGGAATGACAGGGAAAAATAATGACATCACAAAAATATACTAAAAAATTTGACAACCTTATTCAGGACCCATCAAAGTTTTAGTGTTTAATATTTAATAGCACAACTGACCAATGTCCAAGATGCGAAGTTACCATGTTCAAGAAACTGGGGTAGGGGGAAATCACTCTATAAACTAACTATATAGCATGTGATAAGAAGAATGAGCACTTTATAATATAAAACCTGACTGTACATGGTAGTTAGATGCAAAAGGCCATTTGGCCTTCTCTTGGCTGGTAAAAACAATGTTCCAGATTTCAGTGTAAATTAGCGTCCCTCAACTCTTCTGTGTAGCAGGTATCTTGTTTCCACCTTCCAGGTGTTCCATCCCAGCTGTGTCATGAGGTTCTGCAATGTTTTCCTCCGGGCCATCAATGCGACTACTCATGTCATCTATTCTTCCGATGATCTGGTCAGATATCGTCTGACATTTATCTTGCATCTGTTGCAAGCGTGTCTGCACCACTGAGGTAAGATTTCTGCCTGGTCTTGGGGCCAGTCTGCCATCTCCAGGGTTCCCAGCTGGGCGCTAAAGTCTCAGACCACCACCTACACTTCCGTTTGTCAGTGCAGATGCCTCCAGCCTACTTCGTTTTCTTTGTACTTGTGACTAATCAATCCGTGAACTAACCCCTTTGGTGTAAATCTCATCCCAATTACTGTAAGACACATTTCATAGTCTATCTGTGTCATCCTCTAGAAACTGTCCCCTGGGACCTCTTGCTTGTACCATTCTGAATGAACTAAACTGTAGGACCATTGTACTGCCGCCTATTTCCTGGACCCCATGTCTTCCTCTTTTTGGTCTACTTTCTTGTTGTAATGTCAGTTTAACATTTTAAGGATTCCCTTATTCAGCCAACATGTACTGAGCTTGTGTCGGGCACAGTGCTAGGCACTAGGGACGCAGAAGTCAGAGAAAGAGACAATGTCACTGCCCATTGGTTGGAGATGTTTGGGTCTGTGACAACACAACAGCCAATGTGGCCTGAGTTAGGAGCATGAGAATCGTTGCTTAGGAACAGAATAACTGCCCTCTTTATACAGGTCCTCATCCCCTGCCTCAATCATGGCAAAAGCCACCTAACTTGTCTCTCTGATAAATCTCCTGTCTCCTGGCCATTCTTCATCCAATCTATTGAAACATAGGTCAGATCAGAGGCATTCCCTTGCTTAACATCCTCCACTGGCTTATCACTGCAACCAGAAAAAAAATCCAAACCCCTTTTCCTGGCCTACCCAGCTGCGTGTGATCTTGGCCCTGCAGCTCCCTCTCCTGCTCCTGCTCCCTTTCAGGCTCCTTCCTGGGGCTCCTGCTGAAACCCTGAGCTGACTCCTGCCTCTCATCTCTGCCCTTGCTCTTCTTTGAGCCTGGAATACCTGTCCCTAGGCCTTCACCAAGCTTCATTCTTCACATGCCTCAACTTGCAGCTCAAAGGTCACCTGAAAAAGGCCTTTTTTTCCCCCCTGAACTCTCAATGGAAAGCCTTCCCTTCCCACCATATTTTCTAACCCTTAATTTTAGACATAATTGTATTTCTTCAGTTATTTTGGAGTTCCCTGTGTCACCACCCCATCTGCAACACCTTCACTAGAAAGCTGCTTGAGAGCAGGGATTCATTCTTTCGCTGAGTTCAGCCCCTAAAACACTGCCCGGGACAGAGTAAACGCTGAAGAAACAGGGGTTGAACGACAGCACCCACAAATGGTTTCCCAGGGCTCTTACACGATTCTTGTTTGCTGCGGGGGGAGATCCTCCTCTTAATCATTTACTCCCATCCTCAGCGGCTTGGGGAAGGGGTGTGGGAGTGGAATAGTAGGGGGCTAGCGTGGGTGCAGCCTCTACTCTCTTCTCTGCCCTTTCTCCCCGCTCCCCTGCCTACCCATCCTTTCTGCCCCTCCTCGTCCTTCCTTACCCTTTCTTAGCTCCTCTCCTGGCCCTCCCCTTCCCCGCCCCTCCCTCACCTCACCCTGCCGCGTGTCCGACCTGTGCACGCCTGCGTCTGGCTCGGGCACTGGAGCTCTCAGTCACCCGATGGTCGGCCGCGGAGGGAGGATGGCTTTCGTGGGGGTGAGCTTGCTGCTGCTGCTGCTCCTGGCCAGGGACTTGGCAGGTAACGCTCACCAGTCAGGTTGGTCGGCCCAGGACCCGTGGAGGAGCAATGAGTGGGAGTCTCGCTGGTGACCGTCTGGATCCCAGCGTCCCCGGCGTCCCTCCTCGCACTGTTACTGGCAGTTCCTGGTCGAGGAACGTCGGGATGTCGGGGTGGCTGAGAAGCCAGGGACCCTCTAGTTCTTGCTTGGGCTTCACTCCCACCCAGCTCCCTCTCAGTGACAGCCTGCCGTCCGCTCTTCTGCCTTATAGCAGGTTTTCTGGGGCCCAAGATAAGAAGTTGGGTTTTTTATGTACACAGTAGCCCTGGTGTACGGGAGTTAGGAATGGTGAATGCCACGTGCATCGGGAACTCAGGGGCTTAGGAGAAAGGGGCTTCAGTCCAGCCAGACTTGACACCCTTTTTACAATGGAGTTTAAATGGGAACGCCTGATAGTAAGTTTTGTGTTCATTACCCTGAGCTGCAGAGGAAAAGAATACCGTGAATGATCAGGAGTTACTTCTCTTTTACTTTATAGCTCCATAGTCCTTTCTCAAGCAAACCTATTAGGCGGTCAGTTATGGAATCCATACCAAATGTTCTTTGGGTGTGCCTGCTAGGAGAGGTGCCAGAAAACAACTGATGATCCTTTGGAGGTGGGTGTGGGGGTCAGAGCGGGCTTCAAAGAAGGTAAGCATTCCAGGGAGAGGAGAAGGAATGGCTGGATAAATGACAAGCTGATTTTAAGAGCCCCTTATGAACAGGAATTGATTTGAATCATGTACTTTAAAATACCTGTTTTCTTTTCGCAGCCTCTGTAAACAGTCAATTTGGCGAACCTTCAGAATATATAACAGTAAGTAAGAAACCACTTGTACTTCTTCTGCTAAGACATTGAAGCCCACAACAATTTGTGTTGGAGGCTGGTTTTCAGTTCTGACCTGCCGCTTTTGAAACTGTTGACTGTTTTAGAAACCAGAATCTCGTGGAGGCTTTTGGTTGAAAATAGCTCATGCCTTGAAGGCCTCAGGGCTTTGTTTCAGAAAGGAACGTAAGGGTGTGTGATTCAGAAAGTCCTTGGCTTAATGTTATAACTTTGTACTGAACATTTTTTGTACAGGACATTATCAAATTAAATTCTGTGGAAGCAAAGACCAACCAAAGTAGAACAAAGAAAAGCTATTTATTCGGAACTTGCTGTAACAAGGGAGTCAGCCTGGTCACTTGTATTTTGGCAGAAACTCAAAATGCAGGTGGGGGCATGGGAAAGCTTTATAGTGGGAGAAAGGAAGGTTCTGGGTGTGCCCTGATTCAAGGCTGTTGGCATAGGGAAGCTGTAGACCGGCTACTAAAACCAAGTAGTGCATGGGCTGGACGTGGTTGGTTAGGGGTACATGTTTGACTTTCTCTAACTTGTCCTAAGTTGGAAGCAAGAACAAAGGTGAGGGAAGCTGTCAGTTATTAATCAAGTCCTGGCCATTTTGGGACTATTGTTACAGAGGTTATTGTTCAGCTTCCTGGACTGTCACTAGAGCTAGCCATCTGACTTCTTACAAACCTGACTTATGGCAGGCTGGCTTCCTGGCCTGGTTATTCTAAATAATGAATTGTTTTCCTGGGAAGGTTGCTGCAGGTTGTGGGTCAGATTTCTGTTTTAATATTGGGTCTGACATTGTCCATTTGTATATTCAGTCAATTCTGACAATGACCTTGTAAGACAAATAAATGTTTTTATTTTACACATGGGGATATTGACCTCTAGAGTTAGGTAACTGAGTATTCAATTAAGATTAGACCCCTTCCAGGAAGACCCTATTTTCTTCCTCCAAAGTAGATATAAATGCACTTTCTCTCTGCTTCCATTCAACTTACACTGCATCATCATCACTATGATAGTGTAGAGGAGGAAAAAAAATCTCTACACTTCTAAGTTCTCAGCCGGGGTCCCTATACTAAAAGATAAATTAACAAGAGAAAAACAAACAAGTTTATTAATATGTGCATTGCACAAACACATAGGAACACTCAGAGATGAATAACTCAAAAAGGTGGCTTGGAACTCCAGTTTATCTTATCATCTTTAATGCAGGACAGTAAATACGTTGAGAAATGACAGGAAAATGGTCTAAGCTTCCAAGATGCAGAAAACAAAGGGACAATAAATGTATGAAGAAAATTAATGGGGTAAAGTTTGTTTGCAGATCCGTCTTGTGACATCTCTGGGCTGAGAAAGTTCTACAGTCTATCTAGTTAAGGAGAATTTACATTCTGCCTTTAGGCAGAAATGGGGGAGGGTAGAGAGAGCTGCTTCTCAGTTTGCTGCTTTTAAAAAATTTTTTACATTGCTACTATATTTTTATTTATTTATTTTATTTAAATATCTATTGTTTATGATATTACAGTTGTCCCAATTTTCCCCCTTTGTCCCCCGCAGTCCACTCCCAGTTTGCTGTTTTTTAAAGTGCCTTTAGGTAAAAATTATTTTTATGTCAAAGAGCCATATTTTGGGAGTAACATATTCTTGCTTTCTTCAATAGGAAATACGTAGATCCACTTACTATGTGCCAAACCACTGTTCTAAGAGTTTTATATGTAAGATACCATTTACTATGTGCCAAGCATTGTTCTAAGTGTTTTATATGTAATAACTATGAACTAAGTATCATTGTTATCTCTTTTGCTATGGTCACTTGGAAATGATGGGACTATGGTTCCAACCCAAAAAGTCTTACTCCAGATCCAGAGCTCTTCAGTGCCTCATCATAGCATTGGATTGTGACTGCCTGTCTCCCCTCAGTAAACTGTAGAGTCCTGTGGTCAAGGATGATGTCTCATTTGTTATTTAGGGTCCAATCTTCAGCACTTAGTGGGTGCCCAGGAATACTTTTTGATCAGATGGCTCAATTTTCTTGGGTTTGCTTTTCTTTCAGAAAATGAGGATAATCCCACCTCCATCTCAGGGCTGGGATTGGACAGGATACGGTAAATGAGGTGCCGCCGAGGGTGCAAAATTTCAGGAGGCACTCACTCTCGGGATGCAAATACCGCAGGAACCTGCTCTATTTGTACAGGATTATTAAAAGCACCAAGCATGCCAGGGATCTTTGTTTTCCCTTCCCATTTCCATCGCCAGTGCTCTAGCTTAGGGCCCCACTACCTCTTAGCCTAGACTCGCGTAACAGCTCCCTAAGTGGTTTTCCTGCATCTCCACTTTGCAGCTCCTGCCACAGATTGCTGCTGCAATCACTCTTCAAAATCTTTACTCTGAGTTGAGCGTGTCCCTGTGCAGAACTTAAAGACTTCCCAGTGCCCACAGAGAATGTTTCATGTCCTTACTGCAGCCTGCCTTTCTGCTTGAACTTTTCTCTGCTTTCCCAAAGCTAACACTCCTCTCTTTTTCCAGAGAGAGGGTGTCTTCTGAAGCTCTGAGGAACGGTCTGCCAGGGGTGACTCCCTATAGTTGGGGTATAAGTTAGAGCCTCCCTAGATGATGAATTTATTCCAAATTTTTTTTCCTTTGGCACATATTTGGGTAAATGAGTAAAATTAAGGGTTTATGGGAGAATAATTAATGAAATTCTTTGACCTCATCGTTAAGGCTGAACAGCATTTGTTCATACAGCCTTATGTCTCAGATCAGAGGAAATTCAGCAAGTAAGTTATCCTTGAATGTCATAGTTACATGGTAAGTAGCCAAACCTAGCTTTGAAATCAGGAGAATCAGACAGGCTGGAAACAGACTGGACAACATCATTTCCTTTCAGCTGGGCAGGTTCCCCAAAGATCTGAGGGACATCAAATGTCTTCTGCTTAAAAAAAAAATTCTTTACCTCAGCTCTTCAAAAGTCTTATATGAGTCATCCTCTGAGATAAAAGCATTTGAGAACTCCTGTTAAATATAAAAAAAACCTAAGACTTTCAGGCATAGATTGATTTTGATTAGCTAACTGTTTACCTAGTTATCTCTGAGAGAGTGGGACACGGGCGAGATATGCCTTGATTATCAGGGGGTGGGGGCAGGAAAGGTCTAGAGCAGAGGGTTCTCTGAAACTGTGCATTGAATCCTGTGTCTTTGTGCATTCTCCTTAGCTCTCACCAAGCAGTCAGATTGGGCTAAATGCCAAGATGAAAGGGAGTGGTGTTTCTTAAACCCAGCCCTAGGTGACTCAGAATTCAGAGGGCTCTAGAAAAACAGATTCTACCCCTGGAGAGTCTGAGTGAGTAGGTCTTGGGTGAGGCCCCAAATCTGGGTTTTTAACAAGCTTCCGCAGGACATGCTCATTCCACCCTGTGTGGATCCACCGTGTGCTACCTGTTAACAGTTAAAATCTCATTCAACCACCCTCCACTCAAGTACCTCACAAGCACATGACCTCCTCCCTTCTCTCTGAGCAATTCCCACAGCACATGGATCGCTCTATGGTTGTAGACAGACTACTCTCTTGGATGTCAGTAGACTTTATTTCTCACCAGTGGCATTGTAGTACCAAGCGAGACTCAAGTGTGTGTGTTCAGAAGCCTGTTAGGCCAGCTGCCAGACTTATTTTAATTAAAAATATAAAGACAACATAAATAAGAGTGTAAACAAGTAAAGTTGTAATTCATGGGAGAACTGTGTTGAATGCTTTTGAAAGACTTGCTAAAAGACAAATTGCTAAAAAATAGAAAAGAATTTCTATTGAATTAGGTGAAGGTAAAACAACTGTACAAATTTTTTAAAAAATTGTATATTATGTTGTTTTGCAATTGCCTTTCAATCTCACTGTATTTTAAAACAGTGGTGCCCCACTAGGGGTTGTTTTTCCCCCAAGAAGACACCACGACTGTCATTTCTGACTAGTAAAGAGAGAACAGGGATGCTCCCACACATTCTACAAGACAAAGGACAGCCTCCCACAGCAAAGACGTATCTGCTTCCCAAATGTGAATAGGGGTTGAGAAATCTTTTTCGAAGAAACCAAAACAGGAATTCCTAGGTGATTTATTTATGAGTTTTGAAGTGATACACAAAATTCTAATTAGTTGAAACATTCAAAAGAAGGGTCCTATCTCTTGTATTAGTTAAGATTAGATTCAGCTGCAAGTAGCAAAGGCTCAAAATAACAGTGCACAGTGGTGCCCTCCTGGGATGTGGCCTTTGTCCTCCTGGTCCTCCACATGCCCAGCAGGAGGATGGAGGAATGGACAATGAAGAATACAAATTGGAGGGAGCAGAAAGCAGGTAACAGTTGTTTGTTTGTTTTTTAATGAAGTTCCCAGAAGCTACTGCACAATAATTCCACATATATCCCATTGGACTGACCTTAATCATATGGTCATACCTAGCACGACAGATGACCAAATGCATTGCTATTCATTCTCTTACATCAGATGGTCAGCAAATTTTTTTTCCACTTATGTTTTAGGATAAAATGTTTATAATATGTACTATTTTTTGTTATTGTTTCCTTGCCTTAATTCACTTTTTCCATTAAATGACTAACTGCCGCTTGCCCCAGAATCATTGGATAAGAGGGCATCTACTCTGCCTGGGAGAGCAGCCCTGGACACGTCATCTTCGCGAGCCTGGCGCAGCGAGAGCACAGCCTGTGCTTGAATGAGGCGTTCAGTGCTGAACAGAGGATGGAAGGGGCCGACAAAACCTCTTTTACTTCAGAGTTTGGCCTACGGCCAGCCTTGCTTAGGTCTTTACAAATCCAGATAATATCACTAAAAAGGTGTAGTTCATTTATTCAGAGTGTTAAAAAGGGTGACTCCATTTACTCTGAAGTGAAGAAAAGTAATCACCATTTACTAATACAAACAGAATACCTTAAGTCTGGGGGGGGAGTCAGAAGTTGTATGTGGATTTTTGACTGCATGGGGGGTTTGTGCTCTTAACCCTCCTGCATGGGTCAAGGGACAACTGCATATATAAATGTATGACTATAAAACAGAAATAGAGCAGGCCATATATTTAACCTTTTGTTAAGGTGGGCCTCTGCGCACACCGTGACCCGTTCTAGTCCTGGCCTTGCTGGACGCTTGTGGCTAAGAGCAAGACATACTACATTTCTGGCCTCAATTCCATCAAATCAGATGCTTGAGTTCCATGACCCCATATCAGTTTCTTCGGGCTGCTCTGATAGAATACCATGAACTAGGCTGACTGAAGCAACAGAAATTGTCTCAGAGTTCTGGAGGCTAGAAGTCCAAAATCAAGGCGTTGGCAGGGTTGGTTCCTTCCAAGGGCTGCGAGGGAGAATCTGTTCCATGCTTCTCTCCTAGCATCCGGTAGCCTCAGGCATTCCTTTGCTTGTAAAGCTGGTGTTTTGTCTTCACGATATTTTCCCCTTAATGTGTCACTTTGTATCCAAATTTTCCCTTTCTATAAGGACATCAGTCATATTGGATTGGGCCCCACTCTAATAACCTCATTTCAACTTGGTTACTGTACAAAGACCATATTTCCAAATAAGGTCACATTCGAAGAACTGGGGGTTAAGACTTTAATGTATCTTTTTGGGGCAGAAACAATTAAACCAACAGCAACTCCTAAGATCCAGTTCTGAACCTGCTGCTTTCTTTAGTGCTGGTAGTTAAATTAAGTGCTGGTAGGACCAGTATCTTTAAAAGTCCAGACTAAAAAATTAGATTCCTGAATGTGTCTTGGCATTATGTCAAGGGGTTAAAGTGGAATGTAATAGAACAACACATGGAGATAGTAGTGAAGTACAAATTACGAAGCTAGAGGATAATAAAGTAGGCACGGTGGAATGCCTTGGGCTTTCGTTTGAAAATCAGCAGAACGAATCTTTCTCAGAGAACCTTTCATTGCATAGTAGGTATTGAACCAATGCATCTGATTTCTGCATTAGAAAAATCTTTTGTGTGTGTGTGCGGAAAAGAAATATTTTTCAAGCGTGTTTCTAGGAAATCCAGGGAGACTTGGGACTTTGTCCTCCCTCAGCTATTTTGTGATGAGAATGTTTCAAGTTGTTCTCTAATTTTTGTATTCTTTTCTCTTTTCTAGCCAAACTGTGATCAATATAAATTGCCAGGATGTCCCAGAGACTTTAACCCTGTATGTGGAAGTGACATGTCCACTTATCCCAACGAGTGCACTCTGTGCATGAAAATAAGGTAACATTTTTACAGTACGAACAGTCATGTTTTCTTTAGTCTTTCTTGAATTTTGATTCCTTAAGAAGTAGTGGCTCTTTTCTTGCATGTAAGATTTACATGTGGCCTAAGCAGTTCTGTTTCCAGACTGATGTTCAAAAATACACAGACTCCTTCAGTGCATTTCCCAGGTTGATGGTGGAGAGTGACGTGTGCAACAGCAGACCAGATATAATCGAGTTATGCTACTTTCCACGGATGGGTTACTTTCCAAAGTCAAGAATATATGTAATAGTTAAACTCTGTGGAATAGTAAATGTCCTTTGAAATTCAGAGGGCAGGTGCTAGTGACCTGCATACCCTGTGCCATTATGTACTTTGCAAGGCATAATGTGCATTTTCTTGCCCAAATTTTTTAGGGAAAAATAAGAATGCACATTATACGTGGGCAGCACTAAACCATGGGTGCACATTGTACACGGCAAAATACAGTAGTTGGGAAATAGACCTGAATAACTCTACGTAGGGAATGCTAAGTAATAAATGTATTATGCCTGGTGCCTTTCTTAGCACACACCTGGCCAAGTGACCGGGACCTGTCCTCCGGTTACTCTGCTGCTTTGTATCTCAGGGGTCCATCCTCTGACCTCTCTCTTCAGTGAGCTATGCAGGTCTTCTCAGAGGGATTATTTGGGGTTAGTACCCTGTGTCCTCTGGTTAGAGAAACAAACGGCAGAATTGGGGCTGTCCCCCTCATTGTTTCCTTCATTTAGCTTCAAAAATGACTAAATAAACATCACCCAAGAAGGAATGTAATGTACAAAGGCACGGGTCTTTTTAATACAAATACTGCGACGGTGTCAGTATGGTAGGTAATGAATGTGTTTTTATGGTTGTTCAATTTGCAGGGAAGATGGTCACAATATTAACATAATCCGAAATGGACCGTGCTGATGGAGCAGTTCACGGAAGGGAAGTTGGAGAAACCACCTTCGGCTGCACACTAGATTAATTTCATTTCCCCTTTTTCTCTTTTCCTATGTTTCTTTGCACAAGACTTGTTAAACTACATTTTCTGAGAGGAGGTGTGGAAGACAGCCATGTGCAGCAACTGATTATTAAAGCAAAAAGCAAAACAAAACAAAAAAATTCTTAGTTCTTGAGATGAGCTCGTTGCTCAGATGACTTCTGCATTGCTTTATTTAGTGGGAATAAACTCAGCATGTATTCAGTTACTGCTGTTCTCTGTTAAATATCCCTTCTCACTCAGCAGCCTCTGGGTGGCTCTTTGCCTCTCAGGCAAAGGTAAATTTCCCGGTGGGAAAAGTAGAGTCCTTGTTGAGAGCCAAGATTTATTCTAATTCACCATTTCCCTGAATCTTGGACAGTCATCTGTAACTAGTACAGTTATCTACACATGGCAAATAACAGTGAAATAGTTGGACCTGACTTTAGCCCGAACTGGTCAAGTCAAAGGAAAAATATTTACTAGATTCAGTATCTTCTTTCAATACAGTTTTCCCTGTGGGTTAATGCAGGCATTTGGCCTTATCCTCCTTTCAGAGCAGTGGTTCTTAACTCCAGGATGACTTTTCCCCCCAGGGGACATTTGGCAGCGTGTTTGGAGGCATTTTTGGTGTCCCACCTGGAGGGTGGGTGCTACTGACATCTAGTGGCTAGAGGCCACCGCTGCCGCCAAACATCCTGCAATGCCCAGGAAAGCTCCAAAAAATTCTACAATGTCAGTAGTGTTAACATTGAGACACCCTGTTTTAGAGTTTGATACAACATAAAGAATAAATGTAACAATAATAAAAGTGACCAGGGAATAATTTCAAATAATAATGTGTTCCAGGTAGAGGATTTTGAGTGAAGTCCTGAGTTTAAGTGTGTTATGCAGTATGCAGCACCCGGAAACTATGGGACCTGAGTTAAGTGGGACCTGAGTTAAGAGGTGTCTGGGAGAGTGTGCAGTGGAAACAGTGTGGCTTTTAGGGCTCACCTAAACCTGAGTTCAAGTTCCGTTTCCAACACTTAACTTGTCCTTCTATTTTCTTCTCTGGAAAATGGGGATAATGCTCAACAACTTATGGAGCTATTGTGAGGAAACTGCTTAGCACAATGCTTGGCACATAGAAACCACAGAAATAGTAGCTACTGTTATTTCAAGCACTCTTCTTAGAAAGAAACTGAGGCCCACAGAGGCAAACCAACTTGTGCAAGGTTATACAACACATTTGAAGTAGCCTGGACTAGAATCCTGAGTCTCCAAATTCCTAGTTGTCTGTCCTTACAAGGAATAGAAGCAATAAAATGGGAAGCTGTGTAACATAAATGTGCCAAATTAATGTTCTGTAGTTTTTTAATTTTTGTTTTTCAATTACAGTTTACTTTCAATATTATTTTGTACTGGTTCTAGGTTCTGGTAGTTATTTTTGGTCTAAAAGTTCCATAAAGTAGGATATGCTTTTAGGAAAATTAAAAAATACACAGAAGTATATAAACATAAAAAGTGAAAGTCTTGCCCATTTTAGCCTCCAGAGGTGACCAACATTAACATTTTGGAACATAGTCTCCTTTTTGCTCTCCCTAAGTATGTGTGTGTGCATAAAACTTCACACAGACACACACACACTTGCCTCGTAAGCTTGCTTTTCTCTCTGTATTTGGGTTTTCACACAATAAATATAGTTTCTTCTTTTAAAAAATGACTTAGTATTACTATGCCATAAGTTATTCAGTCTCTATTGATCTATATTTGCATTGTTAGGGTTCTCTTGGTTGAAAGTGATAAAAATCCCAAGGCAAATTAGTCTAAGCTAAAGGGAAAGTTAATTGTTTCCTGGATATAGCAAAGTAACTAATCATATGACCTTGAAGTCTCATATATGCATTAACTGAGCAAATGAAGATTTGACGCAGTTTCCTCATCTGTAAAAGTGAGAATGAGAATAGTACCTATTTCATAGGGTTGCTGTGAGGAGTAAATGAAATAACACATGTTCAGGTGCTTAGAACACTTGAATTTTTGGCCATATAGAAAACTCTACCTTTTAAAAAATAACCTGCTTTTTGACTTATCTTTGACCCTATAACAATATATCGTGGATATTTTTCCAAATCAGTATGTACAGATGTACTTCATTTTAAAAAAGAACTGTATTGTATTCTATTACATAAACATAACATAATTTACTTATGAAATTCCCTAGTGATGGACATGTAGGTTACTTCTCAATTTCCATTACCACAAATAATGTTGCAATAACATCTTTGTACACATATTCTTTATTTGTGCAAACATTCCGTAGGATAAATTCATAATATTGGAAGTACTTGGTTAGAAGAGAAATATATTTATAAGCTTGAAAGGAACTAGAAAATTTCCTTATGGAAAGGTTGTATCTATTTATGTGCTCTCTGTGGTGAATGAGGCCCTGGGTTTTCGCTGCCATTGTTGTGTCAGAGAGGCAGAGCTACCTTGAATCTTCTCACTCAGGGTCGTATGACACACTCAGATTCATATCCATCCTTTGATGAAGAATTCTGTTTCTCCCCCCTCTTAAAAATATTCTCATAAAAGTGATGTGTAGTAATTATAATCACCCAAAGTTAATGGTGAAAATAACAGTCCCATGGTCTATTGGGGAGTTCTAGAATAGAAGCTCCCAGAGGATGGAGATCTTGCCAGTCTTGCTCATCCTGACATCCTCAGAGCCTGGGACAGTGCTTAGCCCACACAGTATTTGTTGATTGAAGGAATGCCTAGGAGCCCTCAAAAAGTAATGACAATAAAACCACTAACTTCCCTCAATTTCCTTCCTTCCCCGAAACGGGCAAGCAAACTCAGGCACACAGCCCACATACCACAAGGGAAATAAGGTTTTGATTCTTGCCCAACAGGGAATTTCATTTTTTCCCTGTTATTCTGAAAGAGAGAACACTGAATGCCTAGGTGATCTGAACCAACTCTAGGAGCATACCTTACACTAGGTTTAGATTTTTTATTAAGTGTTCACTTTATATGTGATCATTTACCATGCATGCTGTGAACATAGGTAGATCCCTTATGTTCTGAGCCCTAGGTATACAACGATGGGTGACACACAGTCCTGTCCATGCAGAACTGGCAGGATCATTCTTTTAAGTTTCTCTAAAAGTCACAGCAACTCTCATTTCTGGAAACCAAGAATCTGATATCTACTATAGACTGTAAATTCTATGAGATTAGAACCCATATTGTATTCTCTACTATATCCCCAGCCTGGCAAGCAGTAGGTGCTTAATAAGTATTTGTGAGCTGGTTAGCTGAAGTCAATTCCATTCCATTGGCTTCGAATTCCATGGCAAGATATAGGATGGCAAGTGTATTTGGAACAGGAGAATCTGAAATTCAGGCAGCAAAGCAGGTTGAGCAGTTAGATATATATCATTCTCATTCAACTTCCAGAGATAACTTTTTCCTCACTGGGCTATGGAGTTGGCTCATCCAGGCCATAAGCCTTGAATTAAGGGGATCTATGGCCTACTTTATTGAATTGGTTATTGATGAACAGCCTACTTTATTGAATTAGTGGTTGATTAAGAAAGCACTGTGTTTTGGGTTTTATTTTTTGTAAAGGTATAAAATTATTTTGACACACTACGTTTTTATTTTGTTTTTAAATCTTGGCTAGACCAGGTGCCCTTTCTGTTTGTGAGCCCAGTTAAAACATACATGCAGATTCCTAGTGTGTGATTTGGGACAGACTTAGGTATAACTAGTCCAACATCATTCTACAGATGAATGAACTGAGTGACGAACAATTGGGTTGAAACTTGCCCAAAATGACATTGTCTCTCTGGGTCTGACTGGTAACAATGAAGATGATAATTATCACTAATCACTGGCGTGGCTTTAGTTTTCAGCTTTGTAATTTCCTCTAGCCCCCTTTAGAAACAGGGAAAGATGGTAGAGAGCTTGAGTAGGTGTATGTGAAGTGCAGCTACCAAATTTCCTTGTAGCGTGAGGCATTCTTTCTAACAGTCTCTATCAGAGTGGAGGTGTGCTCAGCTGAGATTGTGAGAGAAACCACAACCTGGAACAATTAGAGCTGTAAACCTGATACAGGTACCTGTGTCCCTGGTTGTCTTTCTGCATCCTCCAATCTGCTGAGTTGCCTTTTGAGAAAGGTGGGTCTCACCTTTTTCTCTGCCCTCACATGCCCTGGAGCCGAGCAGTCTCTGTGACTAGTTTTATAAAAGGCTAGTGACTAGGTCTCTTTGGACCCTTCAGGTCACCTCCATAGAGTGGTCTAAAATAAAAATTCCACTAAATATAGGGGATATGTATTTTCTACCGCAACACAGATTTGAATTTTACATATTTCAAAGAATAAATAAATAAAAATGGATTAATAAAATATAGCACAAAAATAGGGCACAAGACTATAAGTACGTAAACATCAGAAATGTGTAATAATAATGATCAGAGATTTTAAGGTATTATAATTAACCATTGAGTAGTCAATAGATTTTTGTGGGGTCGAGTTATGTTTATGCAGCGTTATTTTGAATGCATTTCTAATAATGGCCATTTGCAGTTGCCAATAACTTGATCACTTCAATGACCAAATTACATAACTCCCATGGGTCACCTTTATAGTAGGCAGTTTTATTTTTCTATGTTGAAAATGGTAAAATGTCCATATGCATTTTTTAAAAGTGATATTCAGAAGTAGGTGGTCTATGGGATTTTTTAAATGTAGAATCAAGGTGCTTTTGAGGATCAAAAATTGAGAACTCCTTTCACCTGTTGCTGCCCAAACCCCCAGCCACAATCAGATCTGGCCCACACCGAAATATCCTTCTAGTTACAAGTTTTTCAAAGAAAATAACAAAGCAGATAAAGCAGCTAATGCTACGTTCACTTCCTCCCAGCCCACTGCAGCTTTTGTCCACAGAACCTCTCTGAC